CATGAAAAATATGATTTGAACCATGAAGCATTAATACAATTTTAATAGTTTGAACTTTTTTCATTTTTGAGATACTCTTATGTGGAATCCGCAGATATTTTTCCCGAAATTTGGGTAGACTTAGATTTCTTAGAAATATGACATATTGGTATCGGCAACTCTGCGAATGGGAGAAACAAATCGCATTTGTTGAGCGCATCCGTCTAAGCGGTAGGCGCCAGCGCCCGTTCTGCCATCTCTCTCTTTTATCACTCTTCTACTTTACCCCGTTGTCCGTCACACTCCGACGCTGCCACATAGGATCCTCCAATCGAGTGTCTTTCACGCACTTACATACTTTTGTATATTTACATCTCTCTTCCTCATCATAATGTATAATAATGTTTTTTCCCAAGGTATATATATATATATATACGTAGTCATGCCATAAGTTCTGTCCCTCGTTTTCAAACAAGTGTAGACCTGTTAATACTTGTCCGATTGTTTACATTGTGGTGTCAGTTGATTAAGCGCTTTTCGGGTAATTACATATACCTCAGTTTGTATTGATCTCTCGAAGCATAACGATGGAGTGGGGCAAGGCAGAGAACCGTATTGCAGTGATAGCTTTACATAAGTGTAATCACAGTGCTAGTCAGATTTTTGAACTCTTACGCGGCCTTCAAATATCGCGTAAATTTGTGTCTAGGACCATTCAGCGGTACAATGAGACGTCCTCTGTTGATGACAGGCCAAGAAGCGGAAGACCTCGTCAAGTAAGGACTCCAGCAGCCATCAAAGCCGTAAAAGCCAGGATTCAAAGGAATCCACTCCGGAAGCAGAAGATCCTATCCAGGGAAATGAAGATTCCTGTCCGGACGATGTCGCGCATCATTAAACAAGACCTAGGGCTAGGGGCTTACCGGAGACGTACGGGCCAGCGACTTACGGCCACCTTGCGACACATCAGGGCGACAAGATCCAAGAAGCTCTTGGAGAGGTACGCAGCTGGGGGATTCCGAAAGATTTTGTTCACGGATGAGAAAATCTTCACCATAGAAGAAAAATTCAACCGACAAAATGACAAAGTGTATGCAAGGAGTTCACAGGAAGCTTCGGAGATCATTCCGAGAGTTGAGAGAGGCCACCACCCTGCGTCAGTCATGGTTTGGTGGGGGGTGTCCTACGAAGGGGTCACTCAGCTCCATTTCTGTAAACAGGGCGTGAAAACAAAAGCGGCAAACTATCAGAGCGACATACTGGATCCTATCGTCAAGCCTTTAAGTGGTACATTGTTTGCCAACCAACACTGGGTCTACCAGCAGGATTCCGCCCCCGCTCACAAGGCTAAGAGTACGCAGCGCTGGCTGGAAAGCAATGTGCCAGAGTTCATTGCTGCGGAAGATTGGCCCTCAGGGAGTCCGGACCTCAATCCTTTAGACTACAAGTTGTGGGACCTGCTAGAGCAGTTGGCCTGCTCCAAAGCCCACCGTAATATCGAGTCCCTGAAAGCGGATTTGATCCGATCAGCGGCAGCTATTCCTTTGGAAGCTGTGCGTGCAGTGATAGATGAGTGGCCCGCGAGATTGAAGCAGTGTGTGAAGGCCAAGGGGGGTCATTTTGAATAAAACTGTTTGATTATGAATTCTAAAAATGTTGTCGAATAAATAATATCTTTCATATAAATATATCTTATCTTGTTTCATTTTTATCATGAGATTATCATGGGACAGAACTTATGGCACGACTACGTATATATATATATATATATATATATGTTTTGGCCGATTCCACCAGTAAATTTCATTCCACTCAAAATCTAATAATTCTCTTCTCACGATTTATTAATAATTATTAATTTAAATTCCCATTAATTAAAATATAGCTTATTCAACTGCCTCTGGTCGGTTTAACAATTTCTTACATAACATTCTGAAAATCACATCATCTGAAGTGATTTGGCAACGTTTTGGCACACGCCTACAATTCGTTCCATCTTTTAACACAGACATTGATAACCTTCGGCCTTCTGTCAAAAGGTTCATCTCACTCATTATTCCATGACCACCATTTTGTGCAATCATCAAGTGACTTCACGATGTAATGCTCTAATGTTTTTAAATAATTTTTAATCTGTCTTTAACTTGTTCTTGTCATATTTTATATAATTTTGACCATTGTACCATGTATCCAGCTCTCACCATGTTACTGGACGTTTCCCTCATCCTATACGTAAACAACAATTAGCAACATCCTCACATACTACTGTAAGTTGAGTCAATTTAAATTCATTTTACACTTTTGTTGCTACTGTTATCATTGTAATTGCAGCTCCTGATGATGATGACAAAGTCCATTGAAAGCTAGAGAGAATTAAAAAAGTATAGAGTCCTCTTTGCTTAAATTTTGTCGAAGTACCCAACAAAAGGCGGAAGCTTTAATTTTATATATATATATATATATATATAACTTGAGACGTGGTCATTGTCGTCTAAATCAGTTAGGTGAAAAATTAAAGCTTCCGCCTTTTGTTGGGTACTTCGACAAAATTTAAGCAAAGAGGACTCTTTATACTTTTTTTAATTCTCTCTAGCTTTCAATGGACTTTGCCATTATCATCAGGAGCTGCAATTACAATGATAACAGTAGCAACAAAAGTGTAAAATGAATTTAAATTGAATCAACTTACAGTAGTATGTGAGGATGTTGCTAATTGTTGTTTTCGTATAGGATGAGGGAAACGTCCAGTAACATGGTGAGAGCTGGATACATGGTACAATGGTTAAAATTATATAAAATATGACAAGACAAGTTAAAGACAGATTAAAAATTATTTAGAAAACATTAGAGCATTACGTCGTGAAGCCACTTGATGATTGCACAAAATGGTGGTCATGGAATAATGAGTGAGATGAACCTTTGACAGAAGGCCGAAGGTTGTCAATGTCTGTGTTGAAAGATGGAACGAATTGTGGGCGTGTGCCAAAACGTTGCCAAAACATCATCTGAAGTGTTTTTATTGTATCCTTTGTTTTGTAGTCGGGTTTTCTCGATTTTTTTTATTCAAATATAATTACAATTTTATATAGTCACTATCAAAATAACTTCCTTCTGAAGCCACACAGTGCTGGAGACAGTTCTTCCACTCCTTATAGCAGTGCTGGAACTCGAGTACTGGAATAGCCTTGGTCGGTTACAGCTGTTTGAATGTTTTCGACTGTCCCAAAAAAAAGTTCCCTTGAGGTAATTTTTCAACTTCGAGAAGAGAAAAAAGTGACAAGGACTCAAATCATGCGAATAAGGAGGCCAAGGAGCCACTGGTGTGTTTTTACGGGCGAAAAGCTCGTTTATTGACATTGCTGTGTAACAAGGAGCATTATCGTGATGCAATACCCAGTTGTTCTTGATCTGATGAACGGTGGTGTGAGCCGAATTTGACTCTTTCCCGATAATTCCGTCAACCGACGACCTCAAAGCACAAGATCCCAGATTCTGTCGAGATTTTCATCGGTCCTTCAAGATGAGGGCCTTCCGCTTCGTGACAGAACACTATCTCCTTAGGCCTGCAAGAGTTTGCGTTGCACTGTGCTCAATTCTGAAGCAAAACCTGATAGGAAGTTGCTTGAAATTGATTTCATCAATTTTTAGAACACAATAGGAAAACTGTTTCACAAGAAAAAATCGCTACGGACAACCAAATGATTCGAGCGAGATGTACTGAAGGCGGATCGCATGTTCCCTGTCTCCCCTATAAGCCCGGCGCCTCCAGTGTTGCCAGATCGAACGCTACGTTGCCAATCTCATTACATTTATAGATCTCGTACCTTTCCGTGTATCAACTTTATGGAAAATTAGAGATACAGAAGAAAAAGAATGCCAGGACCACTGCGTCAGAAAAAATGTCAAGTCAGGTTTTTTAAAATGATTCAGTCTTAAATCCGTTGTTATGAAAAAACTGATTGAACAGTAATTTTTTAAATACTTGAAAATTAATATTTTTTTCCTTTGAATGTCTGCTTATTTAGACTATACAATGGTTATTCAACACAACCAAACTATTGAGATTGTATTTACGCCGCGTCAAAACTGTTAGTTCTTGATGGCTGAAATTTCACTCTACTATTTGGCCAGTAGAGCGAGTGTATAAGAGTGCGAGAATCCTCGATCGAGCAGGCATGTTCGTTTCGACGCGGCGTGAATGTCATTTGAGCTACTCCGACTTTACCCTATGGACACAAATGCCCTCTGGTCAATTTTCCCCAATGGCAAGCAAAGTAGAGCCCCGGATTTCGCTGTGGCCTGGGACCCGTTCAGCCGCAGGTCGCGAGCTTTCTGTGTGATCACAGGCCCCTTCTTAGCTTAAGACGGCTCTGTATTTGAATAGGATTCTCGGGGAGTGGAAGGGGTTCACGACCTGCGGGCGCCCATGTCCTGACAACACAGTAGAAGCTCTAAGAGTAGGAAATATAACTGTGAAAGGTGACTGAATTTTTGACTGCCCAATGGTAATTTAATGAAGACTTGCCATACGCATACAGAAAATAGGGGCGTTTCATTGATCACTGTAATCTCCAAAAAATTAGCCCAATGTTATTTTGACATTTACATACAATTTTCATCATTAAATCCATGCTGCTAAATGGGATCACAGTAACTCCCTTGGATGAAAACAAGATTCCATTTTAAAAGAATTCTATTTATCCTTAAACTCGACATTAACCTACTAGGGAAAAATCACCCCTGAACCTCCAACATAATCATTTCTAAAGCCGGTTTTCCACCAAACCAACAAAACAGCAACTCGAGTTGGAGTTGCCGAATTTGGAAACATTCCGGCAACATTGTGTTGCTGGCGACTGTTTCTGGCAATTGTTGAAAGTCCCGTCTCGGTTTTCTTGTTGGATTGCAGGTTTTAGCAACACAGTTGGTTTAGTGCAAACATACAAGAGACTCGTATTCCGGTATTTTTGTTGTTTTAATTTTTTAATAAGTCACGCGATTTTACTCTTCGTGCATTTACAATGAACAAGAAAACGTGGACAATAGAAGAAGTGACTAATTTAATTGAGGTATATCGAGAACGGCCTAACTTATGGAATCCAAAAAATGTTGATTATAAAAACAGATATAAAAAATACGATTCACTAAAGGAAATAGCGGAAATATTTGGAACAACCAAGGATGAAATTGAACGAAAATTAAAAAACATAAATACACAGTACCAAAGAGAAAGAAGAAATTATAAGAAGTGCCAAAAGTCGGGTGCTGGAAATGAATTTAAAGCTAAATGGTTTGGATATACAGCAATGGCATTCTTGCAAGACAGAAATAAGCCAAAAAAGGGCCACCAAGCGGGGATTGAATATGACGTAAGTTAATCACAAATCTTTTAAATTTAAAAAATAGTGCGGAGGTATATTTTATGGAATACATACTTTGTTTACAATGATATTATTTATTATATAAGTATATCAACTATTAAAGAAAATGTAAACTACTTCCTAAAGCTAACTACAGTACACCTGTATTTTAATACATAACTAATAAAAAGATTTTAATTTTTTCTCGTACATAACACAAGAATATTAAATTTCAAATTCGACTAAAACAAGGAAATTCATAAAAGGCTTTTGTAATTTATGATTGAAAAGAGAAGCCCTTAAGTGAAAGTTAAATTAATTATATTTTGATTGCCAAGGTACTTGTCCAATTTCCGACACAAAGTATTCACTAAATTCGTCTCGAATTTCTTTAGCTATATATGAGGATTTTCTTTCCACTTTTTTTATAGGCAAAAATGATTGAAGCACTTCCGAATCTTTTCTCCAGGCCCCTTCAGTTAGTGTCCCAAGTTCTAAATCTTCTGCATCAAATGATCCTGGTGGAGTATAGAGATCTTTTGCTTGTGCATTTCTTCTTAAAAAATTGTGCAAAGTAACGCAAGCCATTGTAATTTTTTCAACTTTCTCTGGTTCTAAAAGCATAGGTTTTCGAAGACATCTAAAAACTGATGCTAAAATGCCAAATGCGTTTTCTACAACTCGCCTTGCCCTACTAAGACGGTAATTAAATATCCGCTGCCTTGACCCACGATCCTGATTCCCGCAAAAGGCTTAAGTATGTTTTCAGACAGAGGAAATGCATCGTCTGCCACCAAAACGTATGGAACAGGTTTTTGTCGGCCAGGTAATATAGTTGGTTGTGGGAAATTAAGCATTGATTTATCTAGTGCTTTTGCAAATCCACTATTTTTAAAAACTCCACCATCTGAGATGCGACCTTGACAGCCTATATAAACATATATAAAATTGTAATTGGCATCGACTATAGCGAACAAAACAATACTGAAAGTTCCCTTATAGTTTATATATTCACTTCCGCTGAACTTCGGAGATTGAATTATTATATGTTTGCCATCCATACTGCCAAGACACATCGGAAAATTCCATAAATTATTGTAGTAATTAGCAATTTTTTTCCATCCATTGAGAACAGTTGGAACCTGAAAGGAAAAATATTTATTTAAATATATCAGAATGCTTAATAGTGATATTTTGATATTTATTGATACTATTTATTTTAGGATAGTGATTCAACAGACGGTAGCGATAATGAAAGCCTTTTAGAAGACAGAGTAGTGCCACAAGCCGAAACCCAGGAAAACATAGAAGATTTTGAAGTTGTCCGCCTTGAGGACCGGCAATCCGTACAGGCAGGTAACCAAGTACCTCACCAAGAACAGTTGAAGGATATGCCAAGTACGCCAAAAAGAAATACATCGGAAGTAGAGCAGTTCCTTGTACCTCCAAAATCGAGTCGCAAAAAAAAAGGGTAAACCTACTTCAACAACTGAAAACGAGAATATTACTCAAGAGGCTTTCCAAATGATGAAGGCTGCATTTCATAGGTCAAACGGCGGTACACAAGTGCGGGACGAGTATAACATTTATGGAGAATTAGTAGGGCACCAAATACGTTCTCTGTCGACCGAATTTGCAAAAGTTACCGCTCAAAAATTAATTAACGACATATTATTCAACGCCAAACTAGGAAAATATTACTATCCTTCATACCCACAACGTAATCCATCACAAACAGGATCACTAACTCCTTTTGCTTCCAATTCAGGATCACAAACTCATTTTGCTTCCAATTCCGAAGCATCATCATCTGCAATGGACGCTACATTGGGAGCCACTAATATTATTAGTAGTGATGCTGACGTTTTGCACTGGGCCATAACAAATTCGTTCGGAGTACCAGAAGTACAAGAAGCAAACAATAATTAATGTTCAGTATTTTCTTTAGGTGAAAGAGTTTTTTTTTAAGAAAATGTTCAGTATTAAGTTCAGTATTAAATAACTTTGCATTTGTGTTTACTGTTTTTAAAAAATATAATTAAAAATACCTTATGTGTCTGCTATAAATTTTACTCACCTGTATGAAATGACATAGTTCTTCGAATACTTCCGGCACAATTCTTGAAATTGTGGTAGTGGATACTTTGAATAAATACATTAAGCTTTGAAAACTATCCCCTGTTGCCAAAAATCGTAATGTAATTGCCAAGCGATCTGTTACGGAAATAGCATCTCTATAGTTGGTGTTTTGCTTAAAAATTTTCGGACCCACTAGTTGTATTAAATACTCAGAGTCAGCACTTGATATTCTTACGAAGTTTTTAAATGAAGACCTCAGTTCACCATTTATTCCCAAATCATCTTTTCGTAGGTTATTAATCATTTCGTTTATGCCATACTTATTCCGTTCCTTTAAAAATGGCCTTACCCAATATCTTGGTTTTCTTTTTTTTTGTTTTTCTTTAATTGATTGAATAACGAAAAACCCACATGCAATCACAAATAAATCATCGCTCTTAGTCGACATTTTCAAACTGTTTCCTGTCTCTTTAGTAGAAACAGATGAAAACAAACCGAAAACAAAAATATCTATTGATGTTGCTTTGGTGGACACATAGTTGAATTTTTGTTTCCAAAGACAGCAACTAGTTTTTGTTGCTCTTTTTGGAAACAAAACCCAGTTGCTTTGGTGGAAAACCGGTTTAAGAATTCATGTTCTAAGAATTTCTGAATGACGAAACTCTCATAACATGTGACAGTAGTCTGAAAGGTCTGTGGAACGGTGGTAACGTTGACACCTAAAGTGGAAAAAAGGAAAGAATAAATAAAAAGTTTTGGTTGAAAAAAAAACCCGTAAGAAAAAAAACAGGAATACAATTGTGTTCGCATACTCTAGGTAACTATAATAGAAATACTATTAAGTAACGGATGTTCTATTTTCTATTAGAGCATGATACTGAACATAAGGATCTGGCCAGTTGGTCATCGACCAGTGCCAATAACAGAACAAAACAGTGATTGTCTGGGCGTAGTTATTTACTTGTTTTTGCGAAGGCATTGCAGGGGTGCCGGTAGTGGGAGGAATCCCCAGAACTTGCGGCAAACAGGCCCTCTATGAACCACGAAGTAGGTTCTTTTTGGCATACAAAGCGGGCCCAATGAATGACAAATCGATGGTACTGAGTACAGGTTGTGATGTGGATGGACCCTGCAAAATAATGAACTGTTTGTAACAATATCAAGTATTAATAATAATAATAATAATAATAATGGTTTATTGGTGCTATTGCACAGAACGTGCTTACACAAGTCAATATAATAGAAGCGCTCAGTTACAAGAAGAAAATAAATGACAAACAATACATATAATAACAAACAGTACAGATTACACACACTGAAATATGGTTAAGAGGATGTCAATAAAACTATAAAAGATAAAATTATTACAAACTACGTTAAAATCAATAAATAAATACCATGAAATAGATATTTTATACATGGTTCGAATAAGTAGCAAAAAAAGGAAATGTAGCTAGAAATATAACTGTCGAGTATCCTTGGAGAAGTTGTGGTTGAGGAACTCGTCAATGGTGAAAAAAGCAGCCGACAAGAGCAATTTTTTCACAGCATTACTGAATTTATTGTATGCTAGTGATCTCAGTTCCTTAGGTAAAATATTATAAAATTTTATGCCATGGTAGTTAACTCCATTCCTTGTTTTAGCAAGTCTATGTTGTTTTGGGTACAAGTTGTCTCGGTGTCGGGTATTATATGAATGAGTTTCATGGTGGCTTGTATAAAGGTCAGGATTTGACTTGACATGCAAGAGGCAGCTCAATATATATGTGCCAGGCAAAGTCATGATCTTTAGTTTGATAAACTCAGATCTGCAGGGATCTCTATATCTTAGATTTGCTATATATCGGATACATTCTTCTCTGTAGGGCAAATACTCTGTACATGTGGGGAGAGTGGCCCCACGCCAGAAGGGCGTATGTCATTTTGCTATAGAAGTACCCATGGTAACTGGTCAACAGGACGTTTAGTGAATGTCACCAGGAAAGCTGAAAGGCGAATATTTGGACTTGTTGCAAAATAGTGCAACAAAATGATATTTTGTGAGAGACTTCTGATCTTCCTATTGTACTATCTTCCCTTATAAGTTTCGTATTTTCTTTTCATTAATAAAAAAACTTATACTGATAATTCACATTATAGCTGTCTTATTTTATGCATATGCCAAGCTGTCAGAACCTACAAATCAACTCTGTCGTATACGAGCTGAAAAACAAAATAGCTGTCGAAGGACGATTTTTTTTGGCTCATTTGGTGTATTTTTTAATTCACCGGTTGAGCAACCGGTGCCACCGGTGGACCAGACATCTGTCCTTTTAATTCAACCAGTTGCTGCCATCACCATACAAAGCTGTCAACAGTGTCAACCATAAGCAGGGCATCCATCAGTGGTGGAATCAACCGGTGAATTAAAGAATCCACCTAATGTGTAGAACAAGAGATAGAAGAAACTATCACCTTTGATTGTCTTGCTCTGAGTAATATTGACTAACCAAGAGAAAAGATGGAGGCATAATCCAAAGGATTGTGCCAAGTACATTAAGAATTTGAAATGTCTCTCAGTACATGTAACTGGGAGTATACATGTACAGTAAGTCTCAATGCTAAGCACCAACTGTATTTTCAGGGAATTGAATCCTAACCCCATTGCAAATAAAAAAAAAACAGATGAAGAATGAAATATAATAGCACATGTTAATGTTCAGGAAACATATGTCTATGTAATAGGACATAATTATCAGAACCTCAATATATTGTTTTCTATCTTAACAGCTATATTAAAAAAGGAATCATCTTCATGATTCGTAATCACATAATTAAACTTATTTTCACTGGAATATTCTATTTTTATCTGATAATCAACATTTTTCAACACCTTCTTAACATCTTTGTTTTCATGTCTGACAAACAATAATGTTGCATTTAATTGTCTTATAACATTAAAAATGATTTCAAACATTTTCAGTGAATGTTGAAAGTAACTTAACATGTTATTATTCAGCTTGGCAATCCAGTAATTTGCTGCTATATTATCTACTATCACTAAGTTAATTTTATCAATGTTAAACAAGAGTTTTTCTATGTTATAAAATGCTAACTCTGTATCTTCTAAGCTATAACAATTTATTATTATTAAAGATTTCAGAGCCTCCTCAATTAAATGCATTTTTGATTCCTTAACTTTGTTTTCTAGTAAATGAGCTTCAATCACTTTAATTATCTTAAAAATATTGATTTGGAATTCAGTGTTGATCAGAATTACACCTGAACTTCTCCATTCTTTGTTGAGTCTTGATGGCAAAATTGATCTCACAATAAAGTCTATCACCAAATCAGTTTTTTCCACATGTGATTCTCCTGTAATTTCTATGACTTTGTTAGGAAGGGGGCCACCATTTGGGAACAGTGCAGGGTTGATTCCATTAATGAAGTTAGAGCTGGAGCTTAGTCTTCTAAATAGCTGTGGGCCTGACTCTATTCTGGAGCCACTACACATTTTTGAATTTTTGGACGTGTCTGTAATCAATGAAAATTTTGTTAATCTAAATTTTTGAATACATACCTAGAGCTGATTGCTCTTGCCTGGACAGTTTACTGGGGTTACTTTGCTAATAAATACTGTGCACTTTCTCCCAGAATACAAAAATTAAAACTGGAAAATAACTATACGAACAAATAACTAATTTATTATAATTGCCTTATCTCACATGTGGTTTGTTTACAAACATTGGCCGTTGCCGTTTGCCGTTTCCACTGTCTACTCTCTACACGTATTCTTAAATCAAATTCAAGCGGATAACCAAATGGAAATGGTATTTACCATTTTGGATTGGTATTTACCGATCCGTTCAAGCGAGTGTGGTTATCAGTTTGGTTATAAGATCCGTGACGTCACGAATCAGCTGTTATATGTCATAGTTATCACCGCAAAATTGTGGTATTTACCCAACTCCGGAGTAGTTTTATATTTCTGGTTATTATTTGACATGTGACAAGTTAGAATTTTGCCGGGTATTGGATATATTAATCAAATCCAAGCGAATAACCAAAATTTCTGTGTTATGTGCCGCGGTTATAATATGGTTCAAGATGACACACGGGTTGATGACGTCAGTTACACGAATCGCTTGAACGCGTTGGTTTTAACTGCGGTTTTGTTGCAAGTTGTTTATTTTAGAACAGCACGTATATAATCTCTGATTATTTTTATTATCACTTAATAATCGGTGCTTTTTAGTCTACAACTGTATATGGAAAGTTTAAATAAGAAACCTTTCATAATATTCATGGGAGAAATGTTTTTTCAGATTTTTTTTTAATGATGGAACCATGGCTTTGTAGCTATGATAACTTTCAATTCTCTAAATTTTTCCGCATGTCAAAGAAAACATTTATTGATTCAGCAGAAGTGATGAAAAAAGAAATTAGCAAAACCGTATACAGGTGGATATCATCTAGTGAGTTTATATGGCCATATTTTAATATTCTTGTGGTATATGGCTACACAGGATACTTTGTTGAGCATAGGAACTACATTTAAAGTGTCCCCAACAACCGTAATGAGTATAACTAATAAGGTGCTCCACTTTATGGTAAAACTGAAGTCAGCCTGTATCATTTTTCTCAAAAATGAAGCTCAAGTACAATAACAATATCCAATACCCGGCAAAATTCTAACTTGTCACATTTCAAATAATAACCAGAAATATAAAACTATTCTTGAGTTGGGTAAATACCACAATTTTGCGGTGATAACTATGACATATAACAGCTGATTCGTGACGTCACGGATCTTATAACCAAACTGATAACTACACTCGCTTGAACGGATTGGTAAATACCAAGCCAAAATGGTAAATACCATTTCCATTTGGTTATCCGCTTGAATTTGATTATTTATTCTACTTCAGCTTCATTTTTGGGAAACTTGATACAGGCTGACTTCAGTTTTAGCATAAGAGAGCACCTTATTATTTATAATCATCACTGTTGTTAGGGACACTTTAAATCTAGTTCCTACACTTAAAAAAGTATCCTGTATAGCCATATACCACAAGAATATTAAAATATGGCCGTATAAACTCACTGGATGATGTCCACCTGTATACGGTTTTGTTAATATCTTTTTTTCATCGCTTTTTCATCATTTCTGCTAAATCAATAAATATTTTCTTTGACATGCGGAACAGTTTAGAGAATTGAAAGTTATAGCTACAAAGCCATGGTTCCATCAGTAAAAATTTTTTTCGGAAAAAAAAACATTCCTCCCATTAATATTATGAAAGTTTTATTTTTTTCAACTTTCCATACCCCGTTGTAGACGAAAAAGCACCGATTATTAAGTGATAATAAAAATAATCAACTAATATAATATATAATAATCAAATAAACAACTTGCAAACCGCGGTTAAAACCAACGCGTTCAAGCGATTCGAGTAACTGACGTCACCATCCCGTGTGTCATCTTGAACCATATTATAACCGCGGTACATAATACGGAAATTTTGGTTATCCGCTTCGATTTGATTTTAGTTGCACATCCGTGTTTTATACGAGGGGTGTTCTCTATTTACCGTTGGTGGGTGTAACCAACGAACTCGAATAGATTAGGAGCCAAACAAGTGCATTGTTTGTCTCCAAAATTGCGTAGTTGAGTGCATACGTTTGACTCATTTGTTTACCAATGCTTACCAAAGTGACAGCGTTGTATCAACATAATAAAAATACTTACCCGGGGAACACGCACAAGCAAAATCAGCGGTACATTTTATGTCCCGGAAAGCCGACGAGATCGGATTATCTTCGCCAGACTCCGCAACGGACAAACTTTTCTCACCCACAGCCACCTCTATGAAAGGAAGAACCCATCGACCTGCAAGGCTTCTTTATCGGTGCAACATGTGCTTGTGCAGGGTCCAATGTACCAAAACTAACTGTGAAGTGAACTCCAACCTCTCAGAGCGTTTGTGCTCTGGTTACCGCACAGTATTGCAATTACTTAAAAATGGCAATCTGTATGGTCTAATTTAGAATTTGACTTTATTTTTTTGTACACCCACAAAACCGCACGCCGCTTAACCCTGCGTGGTTGACGTGGTTTCCTTTGAAATAAAAAAAATGTATGTTGCGTTTTGCTTCTAACGCTCGTGTAATCTGCACCAATATGTATATTCCTCTAAAAACATGTTTTTGGATAAATACCTACATAAATATTTATATACTAAGTGACATATAAATCCGAACACCCAGTTCAAATGGTTTTATTTTAATAAAATTTTGTATAAGTACTTAATGAAGCATAATAAGTAAATGATAAAAATTTCAAAATGATTTCACTGCTTTAAAGCCCTTTGACCTTTAATAATGTGTGGATGCACCCTGATGTGCTACGCATTCTCCAACGCGCCTAGGCATGCTTCTGATCAGGTGGTCAATGTCCTCCTGTGGTATCTCATTCCAGGCAACCACCAACTCCTCTCGAAGTGCTTCTAGAGTCTGAGGAGGACGTCGGAAATTGAGCAATCTCCTACCCATCATATCCCACACGTGCTCAATTGGGGATAAGTCGGGAGATCTTGGTGGCCATGGTAACAATGTGACATCATTATGTTGAAAGAAGTCTATTGTGACTCTTGCAACATGTGGTCGGGCATTATCTTGTTGGAAAGTTGGATCTGCCAGGGTGTCAAGATAGGGTAAAAGATGGGGTTCTAGAACTTCGTGGATATAACGCTGCGCGTTCATGTTACCTCTGATGAAGATTAAAGGTGACCTGGAACCATAAGCTATAGCACCCCAAACCATAACTCCAACAGTGTGATGAACATGTCTTTCAACAAAAAACTGTGAATTCCTCCTTTCACCACGTCGCCTTCTAACCCTGGCACGACCATCGTGCATGCCTAAACAAAATCGAGACTCGTCACTAAAGACAATACTGTTCCATTCCTGATCCCAGAGTGACCGTTGTCTGCACCACTCAAGGCGATTACGTCGGTGTAAGGGTTAGAAGGCGACGTGGTGAAAGGAGGAATCCACAGTTTTTTGTTGGAAGACATGTTCATCACACTGTTGGAGTTATGGTTTGGGGTGCTATAGCTTATGGTTCCAGGTCACCTTTAATCTTCATCAGAGGTAACATGAACGCGCAGCGTTATATCCACGAAGTTCTAGAACCCCATCTTTTACCCTATCTTGACACCCTGGCAGATCCAACTTTCCAACAAGATAATGCCCGACCACATGTTGCAAGAGTCACAATAGACTTCTTTCAACATAATGATGTCACATTGTTACCATGGCCACCAAGATCTCCCGACTTATCCCCAATTGAGCACGTGTGGGATATGATGGGTAGGAGATTGCTCAATTTGCAACGTCCTCCTCAGACTCTAGAAGCACTTCGAGAGGAGTTGGTGGTTGCCTGGAATGAGATATCACGGGAGGACATTGACCACCTGATCAGAAGTATGCCTAGGCGTGTTGGAGAATGCGTAGCACATCCACACATTATTAAAGGTCAAAGGGCTTTAAAGCAGTACCATCGTTTTGAAATTTTTATCATTTACTTATTATGCTTCATTAAGTACTTATACAAAATTTTATTAAAATAAAACCATTTAAACTGGGTGTTCGGATTTATATGTCACTTAGTATAACTCTGAAAACATCGCAGAAAACCAAAGCTTGAAGATGTTTTGATTGCCATGGAGTTGGTTTTGCTGACTTGAACTTGCTTAGACACTGACGAGATTACTATCGATGCTGTACAGACGACGGCTGTCCGACTGATCGATGACTCTTTTCTAACCGACAGCCGGAAATCGGATTATCAGAGTTTCTTTAAGCTGCTCATAGCAGCCGCGGTGCCCAGGTATTTAGGCTTCTGCCTACGCTGCTGCTTCGCTATTGAACAAAAGAAAGTACCAATTGTAGAAAAGCGCAAGCTCAGTAAAAGTGATTTGAAGGTTGAGATTGAAAGGTATTTCGTAGCTCAAAGCAGAAAACGCGTTCGTGCCAAATCATATGATATATTCTGGATAAATGACCTCTTGGCAAAGGTTTGTCATCGTCGCTTGCTTGTCCCGTGTCACGCATTTTGAACCTGGTGTAAGTTTGAGTTTTTGAAATACTGAACTCAACCCGTAGAATTCCATATCACCATGATTTGACAGATATGGGTTTCCCAATGGAAACTATTTTACGAAACTACAGTAGGTAGTAAATATGGAGTAGAACCGGGGTCATGAGTACTACTTCCGACTTCCATTGTCTGTGTGGATTTGCACTTCATGCAGTTTTGATTGATATTGAATCCACATTCGTCATCAGAGAAAAGTGTTTCAGCAAAAGCTAATCTCGGTTGCACTCGCATTGTTTGGTATTTTGAGAAATCATCGAGTACAAGAATTGTATTATGATTGCCCAGAAAGTTCTGAGGAAGGTCATAGGTCGGAAGTTTGTCGAGGGAAACAGAATGTCATTATTGATCAAAGTTTCGTGATATTCGAGAGCAGCGAGAACTTGTAAATGGTTGGGTAAGCTGACTCCACAAGTGTGTAAGGTAAATCAAGAGACTTCCAGTTGAACGAGGTGTTGGAATCCATACTGATAGATAGATAGATAGATAGATAGTCTTTATTGTCTTTTGGTCATAAATAGCTATGACATAAGACTTGTCAACATTACATATACAATACATAAGTATGCGATATGCAAAAAAAGAACAGGTAGTTAATTAAAACGGTAATTGAGATAATAAATAATAAACAAATAAATCAATAAAATAGTAGTCATTACAAACACAAACAAATTCTCAATGACATCTAACGAACATGAAAAAATAAATAAATAAAATAGGAGTCATTACAAACACAAACAAATTCTCAATGACATCTAACGAACATGAAAAAAAAAATCTATTTTAAATAAATAAAAACAATTGAGCGCTTAAAATGTCTAGAAGAGGAGCAATAAATAGACTGTTTCTTTTCCGTTAAGCTTAATAAATAAATAAAAAGAATAAATAAATAAAATTAAGCAGTTAGGTATTCGTCGACGGTGTAGTAACACTTTTCTGATAGATATCTTCTCAGACGTTTCTTTAATGTCAACATATTAGTGCTTCTGCGGAACTCAATTGGTAGTTTATTGTAAATTTTTGTACAGGCATAGAGTGGTGATTTCTGAAACTGGGCTGTTGCGTGGACTGGTATACTTAAGTCAAAACCTATTCTGGTGTTGTAGTGCCTGTTAACTGTGTTATTTTGAATAAAACTGGTCCTATGGTTAAATGCGAAGAGAGCGCATTTATATATATAGATGGATATTAATGTTAGCAGATTATATGTTCTGAAAATATCTTTACAAGAGTCTCTTTTGTTGATATTGAAAATCAGCCTGAGTACTCTTTTCTGCAAGATGAAGACTCTGTTGTTCATGACTGCTTGTCCCCATAGTATTATATTATTGCAAAGATGCGGGTAAGCCAAGGCGTAGTAGATATCTATTAGAGCTGTTTGGGAGATGTTTTGTTTGAGTTTCAAGATTGCAAAGTATGCACTATTGAGTTTCTTAATGACATGATTCACATGTGACTGCCAGCCCAACTTCCCATCAATATGAGTTCCTAAGAATTCGGTTTCGTCTGAGAAGATATCGTTGTGCAACCGTGGTTTGCTATTGTAGAAATGCACATACATTGTTTTATCAGCGTTTAGTATAAGGCGGTTTGATACACACCAGTCGTTCATTTCTGTTTCAACTCGCTCAATTGCTTGGAGCAGGTCAACTGGTGTTGCTGCACTAACTACTACTGACGTATCATCAGCGTAGTTGACCATATGGCCAGATAGTTTTAGGTCGTTCATAAACAAAATGAACAGGAGTGGCGCTAGTACCGAGCCCTGGGCTGCACCAATGCTTATGTCATACACCCCCGACGAAGAACCATTCACTCTCATATCCGCTAATCAAACGATGATGTTCGAGATATTTTAGAAGCCCTTTTTATTTATGCACTGCTTCAAACTTCCATCATATTATAGCAGAACTGTAGTTATTGGATTGCGCATCCTTTCAATATAATAGCAGGCTATTCCTAATTTAGCACATGGGCACAAGGGGCATGTACCCAGGACCACGCTTGATAATACGACCGCACCGCTCCTTTGTCGCTAGGCTGTCGAGATTGTGGAACAATCTACAAGAGGAGGCTTTTCCCAGTTCTACTTACTTTAGGCAGTTCAAAAATCGAATTAACAAATTTTATTTGGGACCGCGCCATTTAGGCTTCTACATGCGCGGCTGCTTCGGTGTAAAAATTAGATTCCATGATACATACTGAAGGATCACAGTAAATACTAATCGTGTGACATTCGCCTAATGACGTCTATGGTGGAGTTGGCCGCAATTATCTCGGCGAGCACTACTCCTTTAATCTAGATCAAGCGAATGCAGACTTGAAATTTTGTGAATACTATGCCACAGATACATATTCTAAAAAATTAGTGAGGAGCGTTTTAACTCTTGACATGGATCTCCTGAAATAAGAATTGACAACTCAGCGATTTTATCAGTCCGTCCCGTCCTCTCGTGTTCGTATCCCGGCGCTGGAACATCCTCGGCTCCGGCGGGGTCGATCTGCGCCGTCACAGTCACCGTCGTCAGTCGTCCCTCGTCGTCGCGACGCTTGAACGCAGTGACGTCATCGCCAAACTCCGCGAACATCGACTTTCGTTCGGCGCTCCGATCTCTCAATTCCCCACATTCGGCTCTCCCGTTTTTCAGACCCACACGAAGGGATTTAAGTGCTTGTTTTGTGCAGGAAACGCTTCGAAAGGGAGTTTCATCGGTAGGTACAATCCTAAATGAGGAAAGGGTGCGAGTATTGAACGGTGATTTCGCTATTTCCGAACGCTCCTTTAATTCCCCATAAGATGCTATCGGGGAGACCATTAGTCGCACCAATAACATGAAGGCTTAACTGAGAGTATCTCTCGCAGATTTCATAAGAAAAAATGACGCCTTTCATCGGTACGTTACATGTTTAGGGATGTGTATTCGAAGCATATGGGTTTAGCTGTTAACGATGCCACAGACAAAAATAAACAAATCAGGAAGAAATCAATTCATAGTATACACACATTGGGGAGTACGTAAACGAGTATTATTGGCAAAAGATAAATAAGCAGGATTGCATTCACCAATATCATATTGTACATGACATCTACTTTTTAGGTGCTGGATGATTAAAGTTATCGCAAAACCGTGATATGGTATAAGAATACTTATTGATCAAGCGATAGAACAATTTGACTAATATTTTGTGTATACAATAAACGCGTAAAAGATTACCTCTCATGATCAATTAATTCTTATTTACCATTACCATAGCTATAGTTATAGTTCTTCATGCCTTGTAGATTACATTTTACGTCAATTAATGTATTAACGTACAAAAGTATTAAAATGAGATGACGATTCCATTCAAGGAATTAATATGTATTATATGAAATCCAAATATGTGGTTCAATATAAATATACATACAAAAAAACTCCAAGGAGCAGGAAAATGAGATTGACCCTTATAAAAGGTGTTACTATATAATCTTGCTATTGTAATATATTATGATTATTTAAAAACTGTTAGGATATTTCTACAGCAAATACTACATAAGCAACATAAATATAGGTCGTGAAAATACCTCCTCGCTATTCACCATAATAAGGGTTTTGTTCATGATACTGATTGAGATAGAGCATGGATAACAATTATTGTTATAGCATTATGGTGGGGTGATGTCACTTTTCTAATAATTTATACATACCTATGATCGTTTTTCTTTTTAAAATAAAATATAATGGGGAAACATCAAATCGGCGGAAACTATCGAGGTATTTCCTTCAAATTTTGATACAAAGTTTTATTGCCCTTGAAGTTTCATACGAACACGTTTTAAAAATAAGCTTTGGAAAAAAACTGTTTGTTTGCCATTCCATGTCATGGAATGACTATGTAAGAATTTGAAATTGATCTGGAAATTTTCAATGCTATGCCTTCATGTAAAGCTTTTTATATTTAAACACCATTTAATTGGACAACAGAGCATTTTAAGACCTGTTTTCACTGTATTTTGTGGCAAGGCTATATTTCTGTGATTCTTTAATGACTCTATTGATATATTTTTTTGAACTACTATATTCGAATACGTAAGGCTCATAGTATCCCTTAGAACTGGTTTTCAGGCATCCAAAACAAATTAGCCTCCTATCATTTGGAAGCCGCTAAATAAAAAAAAACTCAAGTATTGGTGTGGCTATTAAGAAGATTTCTTCGATTTTCCATGAGGAACTATACAGGATTTAACTCCTCTGGACTTTGTTTTTTGGGCTATTATTAACAACCACGACTACTCAAAATAAGAAATAAAAAAACACATGTTTCGTTATGACCAAGAAAACAAATGTAACAAGTGATACATCGTTGAATTCGTAGAAGTTGCTATCAGATACAGCGTGTACATTTTTTAATCATAAAAAAATAAAGTTGATGATGGTTTCTTCAAAACGAAACGTCCCGCACAAAATTTAGAAACAACATCACGCATTGCCTAAACAGTGCCAATGGAAAAGTTCTATTAGTTCTTTGAAATCTCTTAAAATAAAGTCAGAAAAAAAATGTAAACGATTTGGACAAATTCTAGAGTTTTTCCAAAAATATCTCAGTAAGCCATGGAATTTCAACAAGTTTCTCAACAGCATGTAGATACGCCCTAAAGAACGCAACTTTCTCCTGATTTAAACTAAGCTGTGTCTCACACATGGATTGAGTCCCCACGCATAGGATCCTTATCTTGGACATCCTGGTTAGTCGCTTCAGTAACACGAAAGATTAACAGTGTTTATCTGTCCCACACTCGGCAAAAAGGTGAAATACTCGAAGACATTTGCATAGACATATTGAGTACTAAATGTAGTTGCTAATAGTATTTAAAAAAAACACGCACTGTCGAAAATCAAACCGAAATATAAATAGGAAGAAGCATTGAATCTATACACTTATAATGTATACCCAATTTTTTATGTTTAAACTTCACAGCGTATCTTAGTCATGAAAGATATACGGCTCTATTGAATATGTCGAACACCCCGGAAATTTCCCATTCATACATTTTTAGAAAAAGGGTTTCAACAAAAGTTTCAGGAGTTCAAGAAATGACCTCTTATACCTATGACTGACAAGTCATTTGGCGATCAACTTCGTAAATTCAAGTATCAACCATCGCAGAAAATTTTTTGAACCACTTCTGTGCTGTTCGATCACTAACGGCATCATCTCCGAATACGGTACATATTTGTCGCGCCGCCGCTGCAGTTTTTGTACCAAGTTTGTACTCATACAGTAAACAACTTCGAATTACTGTTTCATTCGTCGCCATTTTTAATTATTGAAACTAGGTATGTAAAAATTTTCAGAAACTTTTTATGCGTGTGAGAAAAGAAGGATTCATACTAAAGTGACAACAGGTAACAAACAATCGCTATCGATCAACAACATCCAGGGCAATGTGCGATATACAGCAACCGTACGAAATTACTTGGTTACCTGATACTAACATCAGAAAATTGTGATACGCCACTCCCCTTCCCCAAACCTCTCAGCTCCCAATATCCAATAATATCCCCAGCATCCACATTGTCTTCAAATTTGAAACAACACAGAAATGATCACGATCCGCTGAAACGTCAGAAAACGAGTGATTTTAATTGGTCGTTTTTGGCATTTTTCTCCGCCGTACTGATCTTCAAAAACTAAAAATCTTTTTCTTCATTGGCATAGTAGAATTATGTAAAAATTTCCTCCAAATCAAAGCAGTACTTTCAAGTTACAGACGGCCAAGCAGGTGGACAGACAGACCGACGGGAATAAGATATACTTGACGCTATTCTGGACGAAGTCTATTTGTCCAGAATTGTGAATGAAGTATAGTAGCAATATTTTTATCTCAGACAGTACATCTAAACACAACATACATGTAAATCAGCATAAGTGCACAACCCGGCGTACTTATGTCCTAGAATCTCATCTTTAGTATGATCGATCTGTTCATTGACATGGAAACAACGGGTATTTTGAAATTCATTGATTTCCTCTTGTACCTACCCTAAATAAACTTACATGGCTATATGATCGAGTTAAGAGTTTACGTTATGAGCTTAGAAATTAATTAATGGAGTTGAAAGCCATAATTAAATTCAAGCTTCATGAATTTGAAGCACTACAGTTTATTATAAACATACCTCTAACTAAAATAATGTTACATTTTTAACAAAGTCAATTTGCCCTATTTTTATGTAATCGTTATCTCGAAGATATGTATTTTTATCTTAGATAGTACTATAACCTTTTCTGTGAAACTAACAAGGAATTTGAGAAGGAGGAAGTGTTTAGTGGATAGAAAAACAAGGAATAACAAATGAATATTCTGCGAGTAGGTGACATTGTCACCTTATGAGTAGATCACCACTGCGGTACTCGGCAGGGCTTCTACTTATCTTGAAGTAACATTATGTTTTTTGACATTATATGGTTTTTTTTGTGACATTATGTGTAGGTTTTTCTACAATCAGCACTAGATTCTACATAGGAATTCATTTTCATACGTGAAGTCAGATGGTCATAAGTGTTCAAACGAATGTGTCAAGCGGTAACGCCTGAAAATTACACGAATGCTATGGAAACTTAGCAACCGCAGAACCACACATTTTTTAGAAAAAAGGTTCTTACATAAGTTTGTTCTGGAAAACAAAAAAGCAATATTATTGATTACTTCCTAATATAATATAATGATTTCCGAGGTTGAATCCCAACTTCTTAAATTCGAACATCAACCACCGCTTTTGACAGCAGATTCGAAATCAGTACACACTTCTACAAAGTCAGTTTTCATGCATGACATGATAAATTTACCTCCTAAAAACAATTTTATTAGTTGGTCTCCTGAAACTTTTGTAGAATTTTTTTTTCGAAAAAATGTGTGATATGTAAGATTGTTTCCAGAGCCTTCGTGTACTTTCCAGGCTATGACTATCTGACGTAAACTGATTCCTATATAGAATCTCGTGCTGATTCTGAACATGCTGTCAAAAATGTCAAGTAGATTAACTCAATACTTCCCACGCCTTCTAAACAACCTGAAGTACAAATTTCCACGTAGTGCAATGACATTAAAAATACATAGGTTTTGTCAGAAACATTAATCTGCAGGATTAACAGCAACATTTATGCTGTTCATCACTACCTGCAGTCCAAACGGCCCGACATGCTTATCTTGGCGGGACCAAAATCTCGGGTTAATCAACTAAGCTGCTCAAATTACGAGGTACAATTTTTCCGCAGCAGTCTTTTCTGTTAGAGAGACGTTTCTTTGGAATCAGACCGGAAGGACATTCTGTGGCATCGCCTTAACTACAAAACATGCCCCAAATGTATTTGCTTGCTTCAGAGGTAGGCCTTCTCGGTGATTTCAATGCCCATAATGAGCTCTAGACCGGCTCAAAGAAAACCTATGCAGCAAGTGGTTCTGTTGAAGCGTTCACTACTACTGAAGAACTGATGACCCAGCTGGTCACTAGCCTTACCTTTTTCAATAGCGTTTCGTCACACGCCTGTTGGTTCTCTTTCTGACAACGCATCCTGTCTCTTACAGCATTGCTGTCCTGTCTCTCCTGGGTAACTCAGACAACGGTGTTGTGGGGGTTAGGTTTCGGTCAGAACCAGGTATGGAAGCAGAAACTTGGACAGGCTACAAACTGGCGTTACGGACATGCCGACTGGGAAAGGCTCAATACTCTACCTTTCCTTGGAGTTATGTTCATCCAGTGCTTGTTTAACAAATATAACCGACTCAAAGGCTAAGGCAGAAGTTCTTCCCAAGATCTTTCATTCAGATTTAAGACCGTAAGGCGGGCGT